CCTCCTTCTGCAAGGTCCTTACTTCAGCATGCAAAAACAATTGAGAAGTTAGGGAAACTGCTTTTTTAAAAAAAATCACACATAAATGGTACTATACTCCAGTTACAACTTCACAAATAGTCAAAACATTAACTACTAAATGCTGGAGGGATATGACCAAACTGGTACATATTTCCACATGTGGCTGCATTGCCCACCTATTAATGAATGTTGTCAAAACATGTTAAAACTAATTTCCACCACCACCAAACAGAAGATGAAGTTCTGCCCTGGCCTATTATTACTATCTTTAAATTGAAAGGAAAATAAAAATTTGAAATAGCTTCTTCTTGGAAAACAGGCAATGTAATATTAGAGAAGTGGTGGAAACATATATAGGATAGTTGGTTGCTTGAGAAACTATTGGACAATATAAGGGCAACAGGAGATGCAACCGAAGACTCCTTCATTGAGAAATATCATCAATTTATTGATTTTATAAACAGAGAAACATACTTGAGATGACCACCAGAATACTACTACTAATAATAACAATAATTTATTTATACCCCACATTTTGCCGTGGCAATCAAGGCGGCTTCCAGCTAAAACAGATACAGACCCTAATAATAATACCATCAAGCTCTTTTTGTTATATACCCAAACACTTGATGGAGACATTACTAGAAACTCCACAACCAATATTCAAAACCAAGAGATGTGATTTTCATAAGATATATGAGAAAGAAAAGCATTAATAATCACATATTGATTTGACAAATAAAAGCTAGTACTAAGTTTGTAGTTTGTTCCTTATCTTGTAATGCTTTACGCCGCCCCGATTGCTTGGCAGAGGGGCGGGATACAAATAAAAATTATTATTATTATTATTGTTGTTGTTGTTGTTGTTGTTGTTTGTTTGTTTGTTTACCTATATAAGCTGTAATTTGAGGAGGATTTTAATTCTAATAAAATTAAAATTACAAAAAAAAAAATCCCACAAACAATTGAGGAGACTGCTAAGTACAGCTGTGTCTCCTCCTCACACTGACTTGCCTCATGAGTGTTCTGGGATTTTTCTGGCATTCCCTGAGTACTGAGCAGGAAGGAGCAGTCTTATGCTGAGAGCAGAGGCTGGTCCTTCTTCCTCCATGCTGAAAGAGAAGCTGGAATGAACCTAAGCATATTTTCTGCACCCAATCAGTGGCAAAGGAGATGGAGCTGCATCTAGAAGTTCCAGGTTAGTTGGCTGTGAAATAGCTAGGTAGAAGGAACCATCTCCACCACTTCCCATACATCTCCTGATCTGGTTGCCAGATCAGGATTATCTCAGACTCCTTGTGACATCACAGGGAGATGTTACATGGATGGTGTTATTATGCATGATACATTAAGCATCATGCACAGTTGCACAGATCATACCATTCAAATCAAAAACACCTAGGCCAACAAATGATGTAAATACCTACAACACACACATAGATGCCTTTTTAAAGCAGTGTTCTCATCTTGAGTTTCCTCCTTCAGGCAATGAGACTGAGGGCCAGACCCTGAGATCATGGGAACTTTTGCTAGTAGAGACAACATTCTGCCAGTGTGATGTGGGATTGTGGTCCATATACTAATTTCTGCAGCCCAGTGCTGAGTTCTCCAGATAAAGAATCTAAATAAATAAGTGGAAGACATTAATGAAAAAATGGATTTGGCTACAAGCATTCCTCCTCTTTGTACAGATATAGCTTAAAGTACATTCATGCCAGACTCTAGGCCCCCAGTGCTACCAATCAAAAGACATTGTGCAGCTTATTTTGTCTTTCCCTCCTTAATGGATTTTCTGTGAAAAGAGAAAAGTTGAACAAATCATTGGGAAATGTCTAAAAATGGTAGACATTGTCCAGTTCTCTCATAAAATTTCATGACTGCATCAGGGTGATTTCACAATAAGAAATCTTATCTGAGAGCACCAAGAATAATGTGTGCAGCATCAGCTAACATGGGGACATGGGTTTTCATGCATAGATTTCTAGGCTATCAATCCAAGACATAAGACACAAGAAATGTTAGCTCTATAGCAGGGCTTGGGCAACTGTGACTTCCTGGCCACTGTTGTTGAACAGCTGTTTCATGATCCTTCACCACGACTAGGGCTGATGGGAGTTGCAGTCCAACAATATCTGGAGGGTCATAGTTAACTTCCTCTGATTTAACAGTGGGAAGTGTACCCTAAAGGCACCAGATTCCATCAGATATTAGAAGCTAAGCAGGCTTAGCTCTGGTTAGTACTTGGATGGGAGACTGCCAATGAATAACAGGTATTGGAGGTTATGCTTCAAAGGAAGGAACTAGCAAAATAACCTCTGAGGATTCCTTGCCTAAGAAAATTTATTAAATTCATGGGATCGCTGTAAGTTGACAAGAAGCCTGAAGGCACATACACACAAGGGATTGTGCATCCAAGCTGGCTTCACAGATGAGGATGACGATCACTGAGTTCTTAATGGTGTTGCCTGTAGGAAGATGTAAGTTTGTACACTTCTCACTGCTTGTGGAATCGGTAGAAGCAAATGATATTATATTTGTTTAATTCTATAATTAAGTCCCCATTAAGAGGGAAGCACTTCTGTTTATAGCAGTGGGATGATTGCAGTAATGATCAGCATCAATTTGGCTGACTATTTGGCAGGAGGCAGAACAAAGAAAGAGATAGGCCTGCAGGAAGAAACGTGGAGCAGCCTCAGAAGGGGACTCTGATGCCTTTCTCTGACTCTTCAATGGAAGTTAAATTAAAAGCTGTCTTGATACTAAATTTAGGTGAAATTTGCAATTTTTCTATAGCAAACAAACAAACAAAGAAACAAACTCTTGCCTCCTTATCTGGGCTCTACCAGAGGGAAGAGAGAGGGAGTCACTCCAGGAACCATATCAGAGGCACCATGAACCCAGCTTCTGTGGTAACTCATCCTATGGAATCCAAGAATCTGATGCAGAGGAGTTTTTGGGTTTTTTTTGGTTCCTGATGATGACTCCCTCCCCATGTCTGAGAAAATGGTATCTGACACAACTCCATCCTCAGCAGGACATGATGAGTATCAAAGAGATACCCTCCCTGAAGTCCAGGGAGCAGCATTGTAGGAGCCAGTATCTTCTTAGTAGAAAAAGCACCTTGCATCTCAGGGCCATCTACCTGTAATTCCCCCAGCAGTTGTTGGGAGTCCTCATTGCTCACAACCACTCAATCTTCCCAGTTGAAAGTGTTTTCTGTGCTTAGGTATTCTTTGGAATTCTTGAATTTTGGTCTAGCTACTTTTAACATTTTCTTGCCTTGTCCTTTCCTTGTCTTGGTTATCTGGACTGTAGGCTTTTTGTAATAGATTCTGGACCAATAGAGTAGAGATCTTGCCACTGTGCTTCCCTTCATCTCCCATGAACTTCCAGGACTGCTCATGGGCTGGTTTGACTTAACCATAGCTGTATCTCCTGTGATAACTACCCTCTCTGGGCAATTGCTGCCTGAAGATATAGGAAAACTCCAGTGATGGCCATCAAGGCTGGCCTTACTTTAGGCAGAGTGAAGAAGCTGCTTCAGGCAGCAGATTTGTTGTTGCTATTAATTGCCATCAAGTTGACTTATCACAACTTTATGAGACCTCCAAGTCCTCTGTTATCAACAATTTTGCTCAGAGCTTGCAAACTCAGGGCCATGGTTTCCATGATTTAGTCTAGCTATCTGTAATATGGTTTTCCTCTTTTCTTACTGTCTTTTCGTAAAATGTCCGAAGTATGATAGTCTCAGTTTCATCATTTTGGTTTCTATGGAGATTTCAGATTTGATTTGCTCTTAAATCTATTTATTTGTCTTTTTAGCCATGCATGTTATCCATAGAACTCTTATCCAACACCACATTTCAAATGATTCTCTTTCTATCAACTTTCTTCAATGTGCAGGTTTCACAAGCATACATAAAAATGGAAATATGTTGGCATGGACAATCCTGACTTTAGTGTTCAAAGACACATCTTTGCACTTGAGCATCCTGTATAGGTTTTATATCTTTTCTTTCAAATCTTATACCTAGCCCAAGTCCTTTCAAATTCTTCTTTTTATTGTGTGCTTTCAAGTCATTTCCTACTTATGGCAATCCTAAGACAAGCCTATCACAGGGTTTTCTTGGCAAGATTTGTTCAGAAGTGGTTTTGCCAGTGCCTCACTCTGGGGCTGAGAGAATGTGACTTGCCTAAGGTCACTCAGTGAGCTTCCATGGCTGAGCAGAGACTCAAACCCTGGCCTCCAGGGTCATAGTCCAACACTCAAAGCACTACACTATGCTGGCTCAAGTTCTAGTCTTCTGATTTTTGGATTACAGTCTTCATTTTGATTTATGACTGAGCCAAGGTATAGAAAATCTTTACTTTAAAGTTATGCAAATCATTTGTGGTCATTATTTTTGTTTTCCTAAGCAGATTTGGGTTGTCATGAAAGGCCAGAAAATCATTAGTTATTTGCTTCCTCATTGTTCTATTTCTATTGCCAAAATAACTTCGCTACCTATGGCCACTATGCACCTTGACTTGAGAAGGAGGATGACAGGAGCGGAGGCTGTCATTTTTCTCCCCATTCCAGTCCTCATCTTGAAAATTGTTTTTTTCTAAGGCATTAAGAGCCTTTGCTTTGGTAGACACATAATGTAGGCAAGCAGATGTATAAGTAGATGGTTACATCCATGGAAGGCTGGACTATGTTATTTTTACACAGTGCAATTTTAGCTTCCAGTAGCTGGAAACCACAATTGTGGAAGCATTAACAATGATTTGGTTCATGCTGGGAATTTCTCTGCAATTCTTGTAACATATAAATTGACATTTTTAATTGCAGGCTATCAGCTGGTGCTTTGAGAAGAAGGTGACAGCAGTTATTTAAACTTCCCAGCACACACCTGGTGTGCTGTACTTAAACAGATGCTTTTTTCATTCTTTTTAATGTGTGCCCATTACATTTAAATTTTGGTTCAGGGAGATGAAGTGCCAGAGCGGTGCGGTGGTTTGAGCATTGGACTACAGCTCTGGAGACCAGGGTTCGAATCCCTGCTCTGCCATGGAAACCCAATGAGTGATGTTGGGCAAAGAACATATTGCTCCTTTATGCCTCAGAATTAAAAAGAGACTTACTTGAGGGTGGGAATGAAATGTTGCTGTTAATGGCCAGAAAATAGTCTTAGACAGCAGAAAAATCATTTTGAATTTTGAAAAAAGAAGAAAAACTCCCAAAGAACTGAAGTAACAAATACCATGACCTCAACATTTACTTCTTTGAGAGGGGGGATATCCCCTGAGTAGATGCAACACAAGATGGTTCACACAAGACTTCACTTAATTAAAGTGTGTTTATTACAAATAATAATACACACAGCAGGAACCCACTGAATAATAATACTTTTTTTAAAAAAAATCTCCATGACCACATCTTAGCCCCATAATTATTCTCATAATTTTACATTATCATTATTTCTCTTGAGGCCTTGTTATTGATGATGGTTTTACTAAGCAATGCCTACTTTTTAAGAAAGTATTCTACCCCCTCTTCCCAAATAATATATTCTGAGAAGGTTATTACCTGTTTAAAAATAATTGCTAGAGTGACAGCATTGTAAAACTAATTGCAGAAGAATTTACTTTTATACTGCTGCAAGTATTGACTGATGAATGATTAAAGCAAGAATGAAAACACAGAAAAACAACCTATGTTATTTAAAACTCATGTAGCATGCTCTGAGGCTGAAACCAATCCCTTTGCATAATGGAAAGGAAACATCTGAAATCTTTCTTTGGATGCAGAATGACTGAGTATTGAACTTTATTGCTCAGTTCTTCTGCAGAGATGCTGGGGAAAAGTTCTCATCCCTCATGATCTAATGCTATAAATCTTTAATCAGCTACAATTATGATAAACACATTTGTGTTTCAAGAGAAAAAGTAATCATTTTGAAGACTAATTGTGGTATAAGGGGGCTAACAGCAGTGACTGTGATCATGTGCAACCTTACATTATCGAATCCCTATGGAAAGTTATTAAATTTCCAAGCATGTACCTTGAATTTCAAAACATGTAACTTTAGCAAAGCAAAGCAAAGCAAAGCAAAGCAAAGCAAAGCAAAGCAAAGCAAAGCAAAGCAAAGCAAAGCAAAGCAAAGCAAAGCAGCTTCATTTATATACCACTTCATACCGTGCTATGGGGTGTCTAAGCAGTTTACAACTGTAAGCTCATTGCCCCCCAACAGCTGGGTACTCATTTAGCAACCTCGGAAGGATGCAGGCCTGAGTCTAGCCTGAGCCCTGGCTAGAATTGAACTCTCAACCTTTGTGGTCTATGAGTGAGTGGCTGCAGTACAGGCATTTAACCACTGCGCCACCAGACCTAGTTGCCAGGGCCAGCCCAGCCATTAGGCAGAAGGTGATGATTGCTCTGGGTGGCAGATGCTGGGAACCGCAGTGGCAGCCTCTTAGTTGTGTCTCCTGGAGTCCACAGTGGTTTCTTTTTGTTGGATAGGGCTGTGTAGTACAGTGAGGGAGCCCTGGTGGTGCAGTGGTTAAATGCTGGTACTGCAGCCACAACGTTGTGAATTTGATCCCAGGGCTTCAAGCTTGACTCAGCCTTCCATCCTTTCATAGGTCGGTAAAAGGAGTATCTGTCATGATTAGTGGACCAAAACTTGAAGAACCAAGGCATCATAGTAGTGAGATTAACTATTCATTTTGGATTCCAAGACAGAGATCAGCCACAGACGTGTAGTGTCAAACCTGATTTCCCCCCCTCAAAAGATTCACCCTTTAAGGCTTTTCCTCCAGCCCCTCCTTTCCCAGCTGGGGTTTAGCTCTGGGTATTCTGTCATTATTTTGAGGCTTGGACTTTTGTTCCACCTTAAACCAAAGCCTTCCGGTGTCATGTTGCCCCCACCTAAGGCCTCTTGTGGGTCTAGTTTTTGTTTTCCTCATCGGGGGTGAAGAGTTCTATAAGTCCATTGATGGCCCTCAGCTCAAAGGAAGTTATTGAGTATAATTTTGGTTTGGAGTCCTGAGCTCCTGAATACCACTCAACTGCCTCGTTCACAGTGGGGAGGGAGCCAATCACTCTCTCTTTCTGACACTATTTTGACAAGTCCCTGTGATGGGAAAGGGTACCCCAATCAGTCTTCTTGGGTAGCTTTCCCCACTCACACTTGCCAAGGGGCCAGCCAAATCTGCACTGCCCATGCTCTCACTCCCAAATCCCAATCAGGAGCCTGAGTGCTCTCTCTGTATATTGGATCATCAGGCACCTGTTCTCCTGGCCTCTTCCAGGTTCTAGGATGGTAGACTTGTGACCCGTCCCTTTCTCTGGTCACCTGGTAGCTCATGGTCAGGGCTATTTTAAGCTTAGTTATTTTCCATTGTTCCACCATCCCAAGCCACACTGTCTCAGTCCCCTCCTGATGGGCACTCGGTTCTCACCCTCTCGTCATGTTGCCTTCCTAGGCCCCCTTTCTGAAGTCTCTGAATCCTCCACTGCCATGTAGCCTGTCTCACACTCGTCCTATTTGTCCATGCTCGGGCCATCACCTTCTGTCATTTTTGGTTGTGTTTTGGGGACTCTTTTTGTATCTCCTCTAG